ATCTTTTGGAAAGTCGGTGCAAGAATTTTATGTTAGTGACATTACTCGGATGCTTGTACTTGCCGAGCTCAATTGTACTAGGCTTTTGGATAAAAATGACCAAAAAAGAAAGTTATGATAATATATGAACGAAAGTGCCCGAAAATTCTACGGTTCATTGTGTCTTTGAGCAGCAAGCAGACGGGCATGATCTCCTTCGCACACTCTGATGTACAGTCTAGTCTATTTGATCAAATGCTCTCGGGAAGCAATTGTTATTGTCGGTCGTCAGTACAGTCAATTTTCCCCCTAATCTCTTTTATCACTTCGCACATAGATTTGCCGAATTTTGCTATGTTGATCATGTACTTGTTTTGCAGTCAACCTTCTCCCGAACTGTGTTGTAGCGTGATGCAGTATGTAGTGTATTCATTAGAAGGAGACATATAGCAATCACCCTGTTTCTCTTGTCTTCGCACCTCCATTTCGATCTTGTACACGTAGATTTAACCACAGCGACATATTGCTTTTTCGGACCCAGTTTAACAACTTTTTTTTATCGAGATTCAACACTATTTCGTTTTTGTTCCAAAGCCCGCTTCTTAGTTCCAACTTTCCTCATTCATAAATCTCACTGGGCAATTTTCACGTCCATTGAGTCAAAAGCAAATGCATGTGCCCCATTCTATCTGCTTTCGTTCAGATGGCCTTTGGTTAATGCACATATTGCTCCCGCGTGAGTGTAGTTAATCAGTAGCATATGTGATGGGATTTCTCTTCTGTTCCGAGTACTGGTGAAATGCAGCTTTGGTACTGTTTTTATGCGTTTTTGCATAAGATGCAAATGCAAAAACGCATATTGTGACGACCTCGGTGTGTGCGTATGTGTGTGTGCGTATGTGTGTGTGCGTCTGTGTGTGTGCGTCTGTGTGTGCGTCTGTGTGTGTGTGCGTCTGTCCGGATATTTCAACTCAGCACTCAAGCAAGCTCCGGCGCCGAAATTTTCCAGTGGATTCCCCACCCAAGTGCCACCCCAGGACCGCGGTACCAACCCTCAAGCACGGCTAGGCCCGGCGTTCGAGGGGGTTAAAGTTTTGGCGGGAAAACCGCTAACTCGGAGACCAGAGAAGCTAGAAAGCTGAAATTTTGAGGTTATGTTCCCCGCCCCTATAGGACTTAAAGATTTCAAATTCAGCTCCTGGGGGTTCGTGGTTCCCGCGTACAGCCCCCCAAGGGTTCCTGGCGTGAAAATCGCTAGCTCGGGAACCAAGAAAGCTGGGAGGCTAAAATTTTCAGGAAATTTCCCAACTCATTTTCATTTACCGCCGTTATAGCAAAAAAGAGATATGTGAGAAACCATGTTAGACGATTTTGTCGTTCGCAGTGTGTGCATTCAGTTGTCGCTTTCGTCGACTTGCTTCTGTTCACTTCATTTCACAGTGATAGTTTTTCATGTAGCTAGTGCTGTCTTGCATTAGTATAAAGGCATAGCAGCCGAGCACAGTAATGAATAGTTTTTGTTGCAAAATTAGCAGAAATGGCATATACTTTATGGTAAAAGAGGGACAATTTCGGACGAGCGACATAATGGGGCAAAACTGACAATAAATTCCCGTTGTCCTTAATTTCGTAACTAATGAACTCACTTCGCTTTTGTACTGTTCTTTGTTTTTGAGCGTTTTTTGC